TAGTCAATCTAGCAATGATAGAAAGCAAACAACCCAATGACCCAAAGGGTTTGAATTAAGGATATGCCTGGTTTGGGATGATATTTAGAAAGGCAACTTTCCTTTTTTTTTTTTTTTGGGGGTATTTTTATTGGTACTAACCTCAGAAATTGTATTGAATCTCAATTAATTTAAAGTCGATTTAAGTCGAATCTCATAATAAAAAAAAACTCTCTCAACACTTGTTTTCTCTCTTTATAAAACTCAAAATTAATATTCTATTTAAGAAAAATTAAGTTATTTTCACTAAAATCAACAGAATGATGATTTCTTTATTTATTTTTTTATCCTGCACATAATATTCTTATGAGTCAAATTAGGAATTTTTTTACTCTATTTAAAAGAGAAATTAGAACTAAATTATTTAAGTAATTGGTGAGATGAAAGTAATTTCAACACCCTCCACTTTTAACATTTGGGTGTAAATTTGCATATACTCATGAATCTCAGCATTCTTATGCCGTGAGGCAAAGTTATTCATAAAAGTATACAAATGATTTGATTAGTATAGATGGAATGAATGCTTTGATTTGCATATATATTATTCTTTGCCTTAAAATATACCTTTCTATAGGAAAGTACATGAAAACCAAACGTACATGAAAACATGCACTTAATTTTAATTAAATTATTGATAAAATTAAAGTTGATTTTTATTTTTTAATAATAATTAATATGAAAAAAATATAATTTATTTATCTTTATCTTACTCCTAATAGATAAAAACCTAATAATAATAATTATTATTATAGATCATAACACTAAAATTAATGATTACACATCTTGAGTCATTTTATTCCCTATCTTGATTTAAAGAAACTACAGTATGAGGTGGGGGGCTTATCACTTGTAATAATAACACAATACAAATGATTTTTAAGCCCATATTTTTTAAAGGACTTCCTATATCTTGCGATTAAAGCAGGATAAGGTCAATCTTAGCAATAGAATACCTTATTTTTTCCATTAACTTCCTTCATTTTTACTTTCCACAAATAAGAAAAAGAATCTCATCCCACTTAAAAGTTTTCCAATTCCATATCCAGATCTATACAAAGAAAGTCTGGCGAAGAACCATTACCCCAACCTTACTCAAGCCGCCAGCCATCCTTTTAGAAAAACAGCTATTGAACCACATGTTGAATAGTTTGCAAATGTTAACATCCCAGTTAAGAAAATATGAGAACTTAAATGAGTTTATAAAGGTTTACTTTTTATCAACAAATAGGTAAGTAAGCTGAGATTCAAGCCAAATTGGGTCTTGTCCCTTAGATATATAGTCAAAGATGAGCACTTGGGGCTTGACTTCCAAAACATTATTTTTTATTATTTTCGGATTTTTTAATTTATCTTATTAAATTCGAATTTGGAGAAACATGTATAAAAATCAAACATAACTTTTGGAAGCCTAAAGATACCTCTATGAAGTGGTGTCTTCTTGTAGGGATATATCTACAAATAGTGACTTTTCAAGCAATATAAATTCCTATGTAAAGTCAGAGCTTTACATCTAATTTCTAAAAGAGTTTTGAGTTTTATTGTATCATAGAGGATTTTGAATCTTTAAGGAAAATGAGATCACACCTCAAAACATTCATTTTCATTCTTCTCCAATTTCTTATTTTTTTTCAACAATCTTAAGGATTCAAAATACTTATGGCTCCTCCTTTAAACGCCAACATCAAGTTGCTGAATTCAAATGCAGTCAAATTGGATAGGTTCGATGGCGCCAACTACATGCGTTAGAAGGATAAGATGACTTTTCTACTAACAACATTGAAGGTGTCATACATTCTTGATCTAAAACTGCAACCTATCCTAGCATTGAAGGAAAACAATTCTAAAGGAGTGAAGAATGCAAGATTGAAGCGTGAAGAAGATAAACTCATATGTCGAGGACACATTCTGAATTCTCTCATTGATAGACTTTATGATTTGTATCGTAACATGTCTTCTCCTCAAGAAATTTGGATTGCTCTGGAAAAGAAATATCAACATGAAAAAAAAGGTATGGACAAGTTTCATGCACTTAAATATCTGGAGTTTGAAATGAAAGATGATATTTCCATCATGGATCAAGTGCATGAATTACAAATTTTGGTATCAAGAATGTCAAAGTTGGAGATAAAGTTTCCAAATTCACTTCAAGTGGGGACAATACTTTCAAAACTTCCTCCATCTTGGAATGATTACAAAAAAAAGGTTCGACACTCAGATGAAATTCTGACTATGGAATAGTTTCAAACACATCTCCAAATTGAGGTAGAAAATCGTTCAAGAGATGCAATATTGGCACCATTGAGAGTCAATTATGTGAGTCAAAATTCTTTCAAGCCTTTCTAGAATAAACTCAAGCCTCTCCAGAATAAACTCAAGCCTTATAAGGAAAACAGTGCTTTCAAGAAAGCCTTTTTCAAGAAAAATCAGCCTTGTTACCATTGTGGGAAGAAAGGTCATTTTATTGAAGATTGCATGTTCAGGAATAATGCAAAGAATTTAGGTTTTGGCACTAATGCAGAAACAAGCAACAAGGCAAATTTGATTGAGCATGAATTGGTTGCCATGGTTTTTTATTTGCAAGTTGGAATGGTGATTGAATTGAACATGGCAAATCCAACTAAGTCTATGGGTTGGTGGCTGGATTCTGGTGCAATAGTTCATGTGTGCAATAACAAAGCACAATTCAAGTCTTATGAAGACTTGAAAGAACCAGATGAAGTGCTCATGGGAAACGACATCACAACAAAAGTTCTAGGCAAAGGCACAGTGGAATTGAAGTTTACTTTGGGCCACAAATTGACCTTGGTTAATGTTTTCCATGTGCTTGGTATTAGGAAAAACTTGGTGTCTGTAAATATGTTATGTAAAAAGGACTTGAGGGTTGTCTTAGAATCAAACAAGGCCATTATATCAAAAAATGGCAACTTCGTGGGGAAAGATTATTCTTGTGATGGAATGTTCAAATTGAGTATTAATGAAATAAATAATGTTTTTGTTTATATTGTTGAGTGTTCTTCTACTTTATGGCATGCTAAACTAGGACATGTGAATTACAAATCATTAAAATATAAGTCCAAGCATGGATATTTAACTTGTCGAAATGATTTTAAAAATAAATGTGAAATTTGTGTGCAAGGAAAGATAGCTAGAAAACCTTTTCCAAAAAGAGAGAGAAATATAGAAATGTTAGAGCTAGTGCATTCTGATATTTGTGAATTAAATGGTCATCTTACTAGAGGGGGTAAAAGATACTTCATCACATTCATTAATGATTGTTCTAGATTTACACACACACATATATATATATATATATATATCTTATGAGAACAAAAGATGAGGCTTTTGACAAGTTTAAAGAGTATAAATCTGTTGTGGAAAATCAAAAAGAGAAGAGAATTAAACTTTTCGTAGTGATAGGGGAGGTGAGTATTTTTCATATGTTTTTTCACAATTTTGTGAAGAACATGGAATCATACATCAAAGAACAACCCTCTATTCACCCCAACAGAATGGTTTGGCAGAAAGAAAAAATAGAACTTTGGTTGATATGGTTAATTGCATGTTGATAAATTCGAAGTTACCATTTAATCTTTGGGGAGAGGCACTTCTTATTGCCAATCATGTTGACAATAGAATTCCATCAAGGAAAACTCATGTTTCTCCATATGAGACTTAAAATAATGGTAAAAAGCCAAATTTAAATTATCTCAAAGTGTGGGGGTGTCTTGCCGTTTATAAGGTTCCAAAACCACAAAGAACAAAATTAGGACCTAGAGGCATTAGAAGTGTATTTGTTGGTTATGTAATTAATTCTAAGGCCTATAGGTTACTAGATTTAGAGTCAAATGTTATAATAGAATCTATATATGTTGAGTTCTTTGAAGACAAGTTTATTAATGATTCTTCTACTATGTTTGATTCTAGAAATTCTTTGAATAATTCAATGCATGAAAATCATAATGGTACAAGTACAAGTACACTTCTTGGGGAGGAAAGGAAAGAGAATGATGGTTCAATTGAATAAAGAAGAAGTACAAGGATTAGGAGAGTAAAGTCTCTTGATCCTAATTTTATTTCTTTTTAGTCTATTGTCTTCCTAGTTGAAGCAACCAAAACTGAAATAATTCGAAAAATACCCATGATATTAAATGTTGAGGAAGATCCAAAAAGGCTTTAAGAAGTAGTGGCTTCAAGGGATGCAACTTTTTGGAGAGAAGCTGTGAATGATGAAATGGACTCTATTATGTCCAATAATACTTGGATTTTAGTGGATCTACCACATGGCTCTAAACCAATTGGTTGTAAATGGGTATTTAGATGAAAATACAATACAGATGGAACAATACAAACCTTCAAAGCAAGGTTGGTTGCAAAAGGTTTTACTCAAAAGGAAAGAATAGATTCTTTTCACACACATGCTCTTGTTGCAAGAATAACATCCATAAGAGTTCTCTTTGCATGGCTTCTTATAAGCTGTTTGTGCATCAAATGGATGTTAAAACAATATTCTTGAATGGTGACTTAAGTGAGGAAGTATACATGAAACAACTAGAAGGCTTTATACCTCCTAAAAATGAAAGAAAGGTTTGTAAATTAGTTAAGTCACTATATGGCCTAAAGCAAGCTCCCAAGCAATGGCACTAGAAATTTGATACACATATTTTAGCCAATGGATTCAAGCATAATGATGCAGATAATTATATCTATTCAAAGTTCACTAAGGATTATGGAGTTATAATGTCTCTATGTTGATGACATGTTGATATTTGGTACCAACATGTTGGGAATAAAGGAAACCAAAAGTATTTAACTTCAATCTTTAAAATGAAAGATTTAAATGAAGTAGATAATATTTTGAGTATTAAAGTAAAGAGACATGATCATGGCTTTGTACTTAGTCAATCACATTATATAGAGAAGATGTTGAATACATTCTAACATCTTAATATGAAGGAAGCCCTTACTCCATATGATCCTAGTATGAAGTTGACTCTAAACTCAAGTCATATTGTTGCTCAATTAGAATATGCCAGTGCAATATGGAGTTTAATTTATGCCATGCATTGTACTAGGTCAGGCATAGCCTTTGTAGTGTGCAAATTATCAAGATACACAAGCAAACCAAGCCTTGAACATTGGAAAGCTATTAGAAGAGTTCTTTGTTATCTTAAAGAGACAAAAGAGCTTGGTTTGATTTACTCAAATTATCCAATGGTCCTAGAGGGATACACTGATGCAAGTTGGATCACTAGTAAAAGTGATAACAAATCTACTTCAGGTTGGATCTTCACACTTGGAGGAGGTGCAATAAGTTGGGCATCAAAGAAACAAACATGCATCTTACACTCTACAATGGAATCTAAATTTATTGCTCTGGTAGTAGTAGGCAAGGAAGCATAATGGTTGAGAAATTTATTGCTTGATATAACGTTGTGGCCACAACCTATGCCAACCATCTGCTTGCACTGTGATAATAAGGCTACAATGTCTAGAGCACATAGCAATATTTATAATGGAAAATCTAGACATATTAGTCTTAGACATACTTATGTATGAGAGTTGATCACTAATGGAGTTATAACGATAATCTATGTAAAATCTGTAGACAATCTAGCTGATTCTCTCACAAAAGCATTACCACGAGATGTGTGGAAAGGATGTCATTAGGAATGGGGCTTAAATATTTAAATTAGGTATTGGTAATGGGAACCCAACTTTTATTTAGTCATTTCTAAATTTAAAGTTTAATCGGTAATAACAAGTTACTATATATGCCTGTTTAGCACTTGAAACCTATTCCTACTCTAGTCAAGTTCTGTTTGTTGCGTTTTGGAGGATGAAAGTAAACTCTTAACGGAGTTGATCATTTCTAAGTGTCTATAGCAACAGGAACATAAAGAACTCCACCTAAATGGTCATAAAAGTGGTGTCGCTTCAACAATAAGATGTTGGATTCTCTTATAAATGACCATTATTAGCAGGATGAGCACATAGCCATAATAGTGCTAAAAGGTTTTAAACCTCTTACATTAGATAGACAAGTCTTATGTGTGTCACACACTTATGTCTAATATAAGTAGTTATGGTTTAATCCTTGGACACCAATAACTTCATTAGATATGAAGTATGTACACTAATAAAAGGTTTAAACCGAGAGATATCTTCTTTAAGCGTATTTCTTGTTGAGTAGAATTGAATTAACATTTCCAAACTAGTGGGGGAATGTTGAATAGTTTGCAAATGTTAACATCCCATATCAAGAAAGTATGAGAACTTAAAAGAGTTTATAAAAACTAACTTTTTATCAACAAATAGATAAGTAAGATCCGTGGCAAATCGGGTCTTGCCTCTTATATATATAGTTAAAGATAGGCACTTGGGGCTTGACTTCCATAACATTAATTTTTATTATTTTTGGATTTTTTAAATTTATTTTATTAAATTCGAATTTAGAGAGATATGTTTGAAAATCAAATATAACTTTTAGAAACCTAAAAGTACCTTTGTGAAGTGGTGTCTTTTCGTGGGGATATAATTCTACAAATAATAACTTTTCAGGCAATATAAATTTCTCTACAAAGTCAGAGTTTTACATCTAATTTCTGAGAGAATTTTAAATTCTGTTGTATCTTGAAGGATTTTGAATTCTTAAAAAAAATGAGATCACACCTCATAACATTTATTTTCATTCTTATGCAATTTCTTATTGTTTTTCAACACCACAACATGCTTTTATGGAGAGAAAAAAATCCTCACCGAGTAAAGAAAAACAGCTAGAGTTCCCACAAGAGAAGGAAAATTGCCTCTAAATATGGAGAAAAGCCACCTTTGAAATTCTTAGGAGAAAATTTATATCAATAATGATATAGTTATACTCATAACATATTATTAAATAAATATATATAATATGTCAACAACTTATATAATTTAATGATAATCTCTTTTAATTAAAAATAAAAAATTTTAACATTAAATTATATAATATACAAATAAAATGAAATAAAATAAAAAATAAAAAATAATTATTTTTTATTATATAATTAAAATAAGGGTGTAAATATACAATATCACAATTCACCAACCACATAATTCACACCACCAGGTCTAACCGTATCATTTTCCAACTGTATTACGTCTGCTTGTCCGTTTCTTCCAACAGGCAACAGGGGAGCAAAACGCAAAAGTCCGTCTGGTTGTTAGTTGGGCTGGGCCCATCTGGAATGTCATCTATTTTGCGCCTTTTCGCTGACCGCCAATAGATGTTAGCCACGTCGGAAATTGTCAGAGCAGTTACGGCCGTGCAAGGGATCCGATCCAGCTGTCGTCCAATTACGGCGTAGGTGGAGACGCGTAAATCGTAAATCAAATGTTACTATTAGTATCAAATTAAATAATTTTGTTCATGTTGACATTGTCCATGGCAGAGTTCATATTCATTCTTCTTTAAACAGGTATAATTTGAGATGAGAAAATAAAAAATTTTAGTATGATAGTAACATATTTTAAAAAAAAATGTATATCAATCTCAATTTTCAAAATAAATTAAAGGTTAAATATTAAATTACGTTATTTTATT